TCCACAAACAAACTGCTCTCCTCTTTCTCCCATCCCACACCAGTCATCTTCCTGGTAGGCTCTTCAACACTTGTCGCTTTAAATCGCATGCCCCCAACAAAGCATCCCACCTTGAGCAGTTACAATATGCTCTACCCATACTGCTCTGGAGGATGGTAAGATGTTCTCTATGAGCTTCTGGGCTGATCTGAAGCTATGAGTTCCTCTGAGCTACAAGAAGTTGAGTGCAAGAGCTTGTCTTGAGAAGAACTGAGCATATTGGGACCGGGGCCATCTGGCAGAAGACCCAGCGGCACTAAGGCAATCCCACACTAAGAGGGAAGATCTTGGTATGCTGTGACCCAAGCCCAGACCAGCTCCTGCTCCCCACAGAAACCCATGTACTACAGGGTGGAAGCATTTCATACCTACACCCTGATCACCATGCACAGCACAAAGACTTCTCTGTGGTAAGGTTTCCAAGCTACCACCAGAAGCTGCTACTCTGAGACAGGCGCCTTTCCGAGAAGCTCACCTCTTCAAACAGCTTTGCTTGCAATGCTGCAGAACTCATCCATGTATTTATTGTATTATGTCCATGTATTTATATGTATTATTGCCCATGTATATTTGCCCAGCTGTATTTCAGCAGCAGCACTTTTCTGGTGTAGCACCCACCCTTCGCAATGCCCATAGAAAAAGTGGTGGAGACTGGTGTCAGGCAGCTAGTGCCTCCTTGCAGCTCCTCCTTAGACATCTCTGCAGCCCTGGCAGATGCAGTTCAAAACCTGATGTGGGCTCACAGCATCCATGTTTCACTGCAGTTGCCTGACTCGGGGAGCTATAATGCCAGGAGGATGGCGGATGAGTTAATGCCAGCAGATAATGCCTTATGATCCTATGATCTAGTGCTAAAGGCAGGAGGAGTGGGAAGCCCAGCAGGCACCTGATTGAAGAGGCTGGGGGAGATAAGAGGAGACGGTGTCCTGCTGTGCATTTCCTCCACCTCCATAACCTTCTCATTTTCAAAGAGCTTCCTTAGGGATGTGGCAGCTATTGTTCTCCAGACCCGGTGCCTCAGCATCCCCACTACGCTGAGAGCAGCTTGGGAGTCATGCGCCGCCAGCTCTTCTGTCTCTATGGAGAAACGAGCAGATCACTCGGCTCAAGAAGAAACAATACTTGCACAACTCAGACATCCCCACTCTAGCACGTGCAGGGCTATATTGCAGAATCCATAACCAGCAGAAGCTGCCTGTGCATGGCTCATGCAGACCCAAAAAACATTCAGACTTCACCAGCGCCTTTTCTTCCTCACCAGAAGTGGCCTTGGCAGACAGATCAAACTTGGGCACAACCATTCCCGACATGCAGAGTCAGCAGGGAATGAGCATTCTTCTTCATGCGCAATTATCTGGGATGCTGAATATTAATATTGGCCATTAAGATAAAAAGGAGGCTAATTTAAACCTACTACAAAGTTTAAGGAGAAATCCTGAGCAGGCAGTAGGCAAGATTGATGTAAGAGTGATTCTCATTTCTCTCTGGTTCCATGAAAAGAAAAATACTAGCAGGGCTATACATTTTTTAAAACCTACACTTTTTTTCTAAATAGGGTTGAAATAGGTTTAAGCGTTACTGTTATTATCTCAGAAATGACAGGGAGACATTTCCATGTGAGTGCTTCCCTTCAGTGTCAGATATCCGTATTCACAATGTGCATCCCTTGGATTTGGGGACTGCAGCTCCCTGCAGTCCAAGGACTTAGGGTTCATTTTGTGCAGATTCTTCTGCCAAAATGGGGTTATTAGTAACAGCAAATGTTGCAACGTCACCCATGCTTGATAGAAATGGGAGGGTAGGGTAATATTAGGGAGAAACTGTAATCTGTAATATCCAACTGGAGCTGGCAAACTCGAATGTGTTTGGACTGCCTGTTCCAATATTTCACTCCCCTGCTTTCAAATGGTGGTCCTGGCCCCGCTGATTAACCACCTGAATATAACAAAGGATATTCACAGGAAGGATCTCACGATAAAAAGGCTATTCCTGGCCCTCTTTCCATCACATCATAATCTGTCCACTAATATGGCTTGAGATCTCAGCTGATCAAAAGGTCATAAGATGTTGCCACTAAGTATCACTCTGCTCAGCCAAAGGCATTTTTACTCCTTGCAGCAGGCAGGGAAATGCAATAGCAAAGCCTTCAAATCTGTTTGTATAATAGATGAAGTCTTTGCTATGTGGCGTTTATCTTCCTTCAGGGAGTGCCACCTGGTAAATAAATCTTGAGTTGCCAGTAAATTTAAATAAAACAAAGGCAAATCATGTCCCTGCACGCTGTCAATACATAACTGCAGAGAACACAAGTTCCCACTGTCCCACCATTTCCTCTGCTACAAAAGCTATAAAGCACTGACCATCTTCAACTCCAAGGGAACCCAGCTCCCTGAGAGCATAAAGAAGAGCATGGTGATAACATAGGAGGGACTGAAAAATACATCACTCATTTAGACTAATG